TGACTTCATGTTTAATCTGATGTTGTCATGTGAAGACGACTCTGGGTGGTCGTCAATGCTGACACATGTTAGAAAGAAATCTGGAACTCTTGCATTGAACTAATGTATTAATTGGTAATTTGCAAAATATAAACTGTATTTAGATGGTGGCAAAAATATCAAATTAATATTTAGAAGTTGTGTTGAATTCTAGGAAAAAACAGCTTTGAAAATGAAATGATATTAATGTGTAGATTTAGGTCCACTATATATTGCTTAAATTAAAAAATATATATATACCAAAAATGTAATTAAAAGAAAAATGCTTGATTTGTAAAACTGGTTTTACTTATTTGAATGAATAGACTCTCAGTAAATATGAGATTTATCTGCTAAGAAAGACTTAATGTCACTTAAAAAATATGTTTCTATGTTCTTTGTTTGGATGGGTCTTATTAATTTGATATGATAGCATGTGTGGCCATAACTTTCCATTAAAAAAATAAAATAAAAATGTGCACATGTTTGAATTTTAAAACTACATTTTGAAACACTTCATTGATAAGCTATTAAAACCAGATTTACACACTAGTGCTGTGCCATACTTCAAATCCCGATATAGATTTGACACCAAGTAAATACGGGGCCAGTATTTCCAATACTGATAAAGATAAAGATGCTTTTAAAATATAGAGGCAGCTTATACAGCGGAAAGCAGTGTGTGATTCATGAGCTGTACTGAAATGTGAAAGTTGAGAAGCCACAGCAGGTGGACACAGAAGAGAGAAAGGAGGCTAAATTAGAGTACTCTCAAGGACTCGTTTAAATTCTGTGCGTCATCAAAATGAAAGTGAAAGTGTCCAAGAGACATTTTTGTCCCTGATGATAAGGAAAAATGTCTGGAACAGTGGGAGCCCTAATCGTATTATTTTACAGTATTGCAGAGGTATCGCAATCTGGTGAGTGTTTATTCTGTTACTACTTGACTTGGCACATATATTCCACCCATCATTTTCTTAACTGTGTGTCCAGCTCAGTGTGTCAGGAGGACTGATTCACTGTCAGAGGCGAGCTGCAGTCTGTGTTACTGTCAGTGCTGTGATAGACTCAATGAAAATTGTGTTTGTTTTTCCTTTTAAGGGAATCAGAATATTGACGTGAGTTAAGTGTGTCAGCTATTTCTCTGTCAAACTCCTCTTCTGGTTGTAACACACAGGTTAAAGATGAAAGATGCTTTATTGTCATTTCCACATGTAAAATGTGTTGAGAAGAAAAACAGCCCTGTGTGCTGGTCGTATTTAGATGGTGGAAAGATAATGAAAGAGTGAAAGATAATAGATAAGATAATATCTATCAAGATAATAATACCAGTGAAATAAAACAGTAAGCAGATGAAAGAAATAAGCTAATAAAACTAATCTAAAAAGTGGTAAATTTCACTGATTTTAAATAGCAATGGCATTTAGGGTAGTGTTTGCAATACAGTAATGTCTAGTTTGAAGGACGGTTTTGTACTGTAGAGCTGAAGAGTCTCACAGCACCCAGAAACAATCCATTATGCAATGCAGCCTGTGCAAGTTTGCTGGGCGTGTACACTTCTCATTATGCTGAATGCTTTTAATCTGAAACTAGCAGCTTCTATGCTCTCTGGGGATTCTGTCATCAGGACATCTGTAAGAAATGTCCACTTGGAGCTGGTCTCATTCTCTCTGTGTCCCAGTGTCTTTGTGTGTCTCTGTTTGTAATAGAACTGCAAAGGTCTGTTCCACTGATAACAAATTCAGAAAGTCATTAAACCAGCTCTCTACATTGAAATCCTCCACATTACTTTCTCTCAGCTTGGCCGATGGTAATACCATCATCCTGGGTTTTGACCCCGTGTTTTGAATTTGTTCGCTCTTGTTCTTAGTTCACTGAGTGTTGGTTCCTTCCATGTCCAGTTTGTCTTAGTCTTGTTTCTGTGTGTCTTCTCCAGTATCTCCTTTGTTAGTTTTCTGTGCCTCACTGTGAAGTTTGTCTCTCAATGTTTCTTCGCCTGTTCTCCCAATCGTGTCTCGGTGTGATTTCTCTCACTCTCTCTGTCCCGTGCCCTCGCATCCTTGTCTCTGTCTTCTCCCTCTGTTCCCTGTATTTAGTCTGTCTGCGTCTCGGTGTGAGTTTCTCTTGTTTCCCGTTTTATTCTGACAGTCTCTTGTCCTGTGTGCAGCTTGTTCAGTTTTGCTTTCCCTGGCTCATCAGTTAGATTATGTGCAGCCGTGTTTCCCAGGTGTTTCCTCTCTGCCCTGATTCCCTGTGGTGTATATATTGTCTGTGTCTCCTGTCCATTGTCATGATCTTCCTTCCTGCCTGGCTGGTGTTCTACTTGTTAGTCTAGACTTGTAGTTTATATCCAGTTTTAGCTTGTCTGTGGTTTTTTGGTTCAGTTCTGTCTGTGAGAGTCCTGCATGTTTGGTCCTGCCTGCCTCACACAGTGTTATGACCCTGTGCACAGGCTTTGGTTGGAATATGGTCATTTGGGTAATCTGATGATAATTTCTAGGGTTTCCACAATGAAACACAACCATAACATTATAATAATTACAATAAAAACGTATTGTTTTAGAAATTTTTCACACAGTTACAAAATGTTTCACAGTTTGAAGTTACGGATGTTCTAACATAAAAACATCCATACATGCATTAGATGTAGATTATGTCGATTATGGCCAAAATAATCGGAGAAAGATCAAGGAAAACTTAACCTATATATAGGAGTTGTCAGGAGTCAATTAAAACAAACCACAGATTAAATTAACTTTACAGGATTAGGTGGTCAGAGAGGCTAACTGCTGTTATAAGGTCTTAGCAGCCTTCCTGTATAAGCAATGTACAGCTCTACAAGTTAATAATAGAAATTCAATGTGAACGCTGAATTTATATGGAAGTCATTAAAGGAAAGCAGCATTCTGGCACATTTGAAGACAGGCTAGGGAGGACTGACTGCTACTGTCATTGAAATCACTGAATAACAGTAAAGGCTGGATTTTTGTGATGTTTCATAGGAGAAGTAAGCAAGTTTGGATGGGCTTATTAACCGATAACTGATCTATATTTGAACGTGTGATCAAGCAGCATTGTAACTCATTCACTTTTTAAAAAGTAATCGCACACTTGTCTCTCCCTTCATGTATCCTTCTGACTCGTTTTGAGTTTTTGATTCAGGACACACTTGATTCTGTTTCCTTTGAATTGCTTAGTGTTGTTTTAAATCTCCTTCAGTCCACGTGATCCTCACAGCCACTGTCGGACAGAACGTCACTCTGCCAAGGTGATCGGAGTTGAAGAGTGGAACAGAGCAGACCTGGAGGATCAGTATGTGTTTTTGTTCCTAGACGATCATACTGATGCAGCCAATCAGCATCCATCTTTTAAGGGCCGGGTGGATCTGCAGGACAGGCAGATGAAGGATGGAGACGTGTCTTTGATTCTGACCAATGTGAACATTAATGACACTGGAACATACGAGTGTCGTATCAAGACAGGAACAAATCGCAAGAGGAGAGCTCATCTGAAGACCGACCCCATCAGCATCATCTACCTGAGTGTTGTTGATCCTCCAGGTGAGTGAGTAGCGTTGAGTGTGTGTGATCAGAGGTGAAGCTGCTTCCTGGCTGCTGATGTTTCTTCTAGGTTCGGGCACCCAGGGCTAACTTTCCATTGTCTGGATTCACTTAACCTTATACTGTTTAGTTAACCCAGAGTTTCCCCACTTATTCACAAGAAAGAAGTCAGTGAAGATGTGGCATTTTCAGATGATTTTGAACCAAAATTTAGAACATAACCTGCTCCTGATAGTTTTAGTTTTTATTCTCTGAGGTGCAGATTTGGTGCTGTTTAACTTAGTCTACATAAAAATTTTCAACAGATATAAAATCAGCAAGTACGTGTAGATGTAATGTTTTTGGATCATATATTATTGCTTATAGAAAGATACAATTAGTGCAACATTGCGTGCTGTGAATAAAGTAATAAAAAGGGAAATTTAATGCCTTTAGATCCTCCTGCTCTCCTTGCATAGGTTCAGGTGATCTTCCAGGAATGGTGATGCAATTTTTGGAATTACTGATTGGTCAGTAGGGGGTGATTTTGTATGGATTCTGTTCTTTTCTTCACTCATCACCTACCTGACAGCTGACACACCTGTTTCTCACCTGCAGGCGAGCCAGGAGGAACTGCTGGACGGACAGTTGGTCTGTCAGTGTTTGCGTTCTTGTTGCTGTTCTACTTTTGAATTCAAATTTAAAAAAAAAAAAAAATAGAAAACATCCTCTTGGTGGTAAGTTACAAGTTCAAATGTTTCTGGTCTGTAAATCTCCTGCTGGTGTGATCATGTCATCATGCTGAATGACTGATCTGAGGACAGAAGAATTTCTAGATTCAAAGCACATCGTGAATGTTCACTGTGAACCTCAATAATTAGTAGAAAAGACATGTTGTTGAGGGTGTTAACAAAGTTTCAAGGATTTCTGTTCTGTGCAGAGAAATATATGTGACATCTGGATAAGGTTGGGTTCAGTGCTTTTCTTTGGCTTTATTTGGATGTATCTTCTGACTTTTAGCTTTCAAAATCAAACATCTAAACCATTATTCTCAAAACCTGTTTAGAAACTTTCCTCTAATTTTAAAAACTACTACATACACATGCTAATGTGTTGTTTGGTATGTTCATGCTGTTTGCAAACATATGTACTTAATCGATCTGTAAGTTAAAAATAGTAGTGGCACAGCCTGCTTATATAAATAAATAGAAGATAAATATGATTGTATGTTTACTATTATTATATGTACTTTATACATATATATACTTACATAATTTTAGTGGATTTGCAGCCAATCTGAATCATATATTAAACTGGCATCTTAATGTATCAGCTATATGAGCATAAAGTTTTGCAGCCCAACAGAACATTGTGTGATTTACCCCAAATAAAGACCTTCCTAACTACCCTGAATGATTCTGCAATCTGATTATTTCAAGGCTGGAATGTGGATCTTTCAAACTAAGATCTGAGTGTGGGAGAAACCTGAGAGGGACATAGGAGAGGGGCTACATTAGAGTACCTTCAATGGTATCCATAAATGATGCCTACTTACAGACTCTCTGTCTCCCACTATCTATTTCCCTGTTTGTCTGCAACAGAGGCGTCCCCACAACTTAATGACTTGAAGTGCCATAGGAGGTGAACACGAGGCTTAATCAGGGTGCCGTCATTGGCTGACATCAGATCAAGAATCTGTGCGTATAGCCTGAAAAGTGAAAGTGCAAGTGTCCCAGAAAGTCTTCTCTGTTGCGTCTGTTGGAAGTGCCATGATGTCTGGAAAAATGGGACTGATGTTAATATTGATTTTTAATATTTTGGAGGCGTCTTCTTCTGGTGAGTTTTTAAATGTATCTCTATTGCATTAGTATACAGAGAGAGATCAATGTAGACATATTATCTGCTATAAAGACAGGTATAGTTCATTGATTGTAAGTAAAGTAGCAGCAGCATTTAAAGTAGTGTGTACAGCAGCACAGTAAGATGCACTTTTAATGTCCAGTGTTCAGAAATATGAGTCTGTGTGTGCGTGTGTGCCGCACAGTGATGCAGGATGCGAGGACGCTTTCCTCAGCACACAGTAGAAGATGTGCACTTCCCACCTCTCTCTCTCTCTCTGATGCTCTCACTCACTTACTGCATCACAGGAATTTCCAGGGAGTTTTTCTTAACTGTGATGGCAGAAAGATGACCAAGGATTTGACATGAATGCTTTTTAAGATGAATTATCCAAACAGAACTGGGATGCGGTTTGTGAGGAGTTGGATATTAATAAAGTAAAGCAATGCAGTTGTGGTCAAACAGAAACAGAAAGAAAAAGATTCCTTGCAGATGTAGCAGGATGATTTGAGC